TTTATAACATTATAAACAAACCAATAAAGTTATAACCTTTAATATCTACAAGAGAAAAATGATAATCTTGTGGTCAATAAATTCATGAAATTAATGCATAGCCTAAGAAATGCACATCCTATCTTGATAAAAAATTAAAGGGAAAATTGCAGCCGAGGTACCAAATCTTTCGTTTATTAGCAGACTTTGTCCAAACCTTTAGTTTGTGCCACCCACAGTCTCAAACCTTTCAAAAATATGCACCGGAGGTTCAAATGGGTGGAAACCGTCCGTTTGACCGTTAGTTGACTAGAAAAGTCAAAATTTGACCAATTTTGACTAAATTGGAAAGGATAAAATGGTAACTTGATAATTACCATATTAAATACATTGAAAAAAAATCAAAAAATAAAAAATCTAAGAAAAAAAGAGAAAATTGAAAAAAAAAATTAAAAACCAAACGAAAACCGGTCATCTTCCTAACACCACCCCACTCCACCCCACCCCACCCTGAAATCAAACTGACGGGCAGTAGAAACGAGTCTGCCACCGGCACACCATCCCCACACCAAAGCAGCTCGTCTTCTCCAGTATTACATCCATCGAAAATTGCCACAACCGTCGCCACAGCACTCCCGCTTACCACTGTCACCTTCCATCCGCAGCAGCGAAAATCAAACCAACAAAACTCATCCCTACGGCAAATGAAAACCAAAAATCGAATCACCTAGTCACCAACACACCGTCACACCTGCAAATCACCCACCATCATTGTCGCAATAACATCTACTCCAAATAACATAAACCCAAATCTAGAAATGACCACCTATACAACATTTCTTCCCTAAACACTGTCTCTATTATCGGTAAAGAACTTAGTTCGAACTCTTTTTTTTGGATAAGGTAACTGAGTTCGAACTCAGTTCACAGAAGCTTGACTTCTATTGCATAAAAAGCTTGACTTCCGTGTTTGACGATTTGAGACTTAAGTTTGGGATTGGATGAAGTTTTGATAGCTGTTTCAAAATTTACTTTTCAACTAGGGTTGGGTGTCTCCAGATTTGTAGTGTCCAGATTTGATAGCTAATTTTTCCGACGACGGTGTGGGTGGGCTAGGTGAATCGGTGATGGTGGCCATGGGGTATTCTGGTTTTGGGTTTTGAGTAAGGGGGTGGGGCAGGGATGAAGATGAACAGTATTCCCTTTCTTTTCTTTTCTTTGATTTTTATTTATTTTGTTTTTACTTTTCTATTGTTATTATTAATTATTTTAATTATTAATATTAAGGAAAAATATAAATTACCACTTTACCCTTTTTTCAAATTGGTCAAATTTTGACGATCAAACGGACGGTTTCCATCCATTTGAACATCCGGTACATATTTTTGAAAGGTTTGAGACTGTGGGTGGCACAAACTAAAGGTTTGGCCAAAGTCTGCTAATAAACGAAAGGTTTGGTACTTCGACTGCAATTTTCTCAAAATTAAAGCTGGATAGAATTTAAAAGAAAAAAGAAAATATAAAAGACTGGGAAAAAATAATTGGAATAACGCACAGTCATAGAACATTTAATCCATATACAATTTGTTTAAGGTAATAAAATCCTTAATAAATATTCAGGACAATAAATGAAAATTAGACCATGAATATAAATAACAACAATTTCAGGAACCAATAACGAGAGTTAAGTTTCAAAAAAGGGGAAAAATATTTTTACACGCTTAATATATGCATGTAATGGATAAAGAAAAAACATATCGATTACTGCTTCCATGAAGGGCAACACGCCAATGCCATGACGGATTCAAGTTTTTTGTTAGAAGAGATGGTGTGTGGAATTCGATTCAACGCTCCTTCCTCCTCCCCATCAGGATTTGATTTTCAGAAATCGATATGAAATAAATATTAACTGATAGCACCCCTTTGTGAAATTAGATGTAAATAAAAGATGAGAGATAATGAAATGGAGCTCCGATTATTTTCCAAAGGAGAGAGAAAGATGATAGGTTGAAGGCAAATGAAAGGGGAAGACTGAAGAAAAAATAAAATTTGTGATTTTTCTAGTCAACAAAGGAGGCTATAAACAGTAAATATTCAGTAAAATAAGTGATAGACTTTGGATTCAAGCGTGAAAGCAATTAGCAATGCCATATTTTGTATCAAGACCATTGAACCCTCGAGTTGGAGATGGTAAAATAGTGTTAGATTTGGAGGGTAAAGTAGGAATGGTGTAGGATGAATACGGGTAAAATGAAAATACAAAATACTTCACAAATGAATAGTAACTTGCACATTCCCTCTTTTAATAGTAGAGGGATACAATCAAATCGGAGTTTTGATTGGTTTTAAAGGAAATAGTTCATAGAATTCTTATAAGCTTTTACTTGGCAGATTCTCATTCATCCTTGATCAAAAACACAAAAAAGGACACCATACAGGTGCTATCAACACAACATCTATAAGGTGCCTATGAACAATTCCCCTGTACAAGGGAGTTATTCATCAAATCCAGTCACAACTCAGAAGCCAGCTTAAAGCCTTAAACTTTTAACCCTTTTCATTTTATTTTATTGTTTGTTTGTGAAAATAATTATTGAAATTTGAAAAAGTTGCCTATGTCAAGATATGATGGATCCTACCCTGTTTCCTGTTTAAAGTCAACTTAACTTTTTGGGTCTAAAAGTCATTCTTTTTCAATTTTTAAGCCACAGTCTAAATTCCAAAAGGTTTTACTGTTTTAGGAAGTGAAAGCTTGACTTCTATTTTATTATTTAGAAATTTGTTATTTGTCCACGGGTTAGATGCTCGTATACACATCCTTCACAAGAGGGGATCCGCACCCAATAAAAAAAATAAAAATGCAGCTCCCCTCTTGTGAAGGGATTGTAAACGCCCGTGCCGTGTACATATACCACGGTCCTATCATTTAAGGTGAATTTCACTTTTAATATAATGAAATAAATATAGCTCTAATTTGGAAGAAATTATAATTCAGATTTTAATCTAAATTAAAATCGATAATTAATTTTAATTATATATATTTTATGAGATCCACAACTTTTTAACCACACATTTTATTAAATTTTTTTTATATCAAAATTTACTAAAAATTTGATTTTAATCACAATCAAACAATGACAAAGTTCTTACGGAGGTTTCGCTTGGCAACCAGTTTATAAATGATTTATAAATAAAATTAAAGTTAAATATCAATTTTGATCACACAAACATAATTAATATTTACTTATTATTTATACATTTCGTTGGACCCACTATTATTTCTCTTTTATAAATTATTTTATAAGATTGCCAAATGGAAGATAGTAAAAATTCACGTGATGTTGAACTTTCCGATAACTTCAATTGCCGCACTATTAAATTCCACGATGACTCATCTTTAACGGACGTTTGAAATAGTTTTGAACGTCTTCAAACTTTTCACCATCCAATAAAAAGTATCTAAATTGGTTAAGTCAAATTGAAAATTACGTATAAATGCAATTTTATCCTCAAACATCAATGGGCCAACCCGTGATATTCGGCACCGGTTTTTGTTTGATTATTGGTGTGGTTCATTTCGTGCCAAAAGCTTGACAAGATCAATGAGATGACTCACTGGGCAGCGTTTGGCATAACAAAAAACGATTATTATTATTAAAAAAAAAAAAGAGTCGAAAATAAAAACGGAAATATATTTTCTCAAATTAAAATTAAAACTCGTTAAAAAGTCTCAAAACTAAAATTTTAATTGTATATTTTTTCTTTTAATTATAAATATAACTTCCGGTTTGATATTTGACTATTAATCATTTATCCTTTACGATCAATGTTTGATCATTTTTTAAACATTGATAGATAATAGAATTCCACAACGTAATTGAGTCAATTGAAGAATTTGCTTTTAACCATTCAATTTATTAAGGAAATCCTTTATAAATTGTATAATACTGTGAAGTGACACGTAAAATAGAATTATTGTCCATATTTCTCTACAAAACCAATTCAAATCATACTCATATGAGGCTAAAACTCGTGCATGCATATAAATACGTAGCTCAATCATATGTCACATAGTCTATTAACGACTTTCGAGATATTACCATCGTGAATTCAATCAGCCATCTGCGTTTTTTTCATCATTATTGAAAAATTCGAAGCAAAACTAACAAATTTTAAAAATATTACAATTTATTTTGCATCCATCATACCAAACACACCTGAATTATTGTGATTTAAACGGTTATATTAATGAAACCTCAAATGAAAAATCACAAGCCTTTGTAAATTTGAGGGTTAAATCACTAATGATCACCTCAATTTTATATTTAGTGTCATCATGGTCACTTAATTTGATTTTGTTTCACCATGACCATCAAACTTTATATTTAGTATCACTATAAATCCAATTTGATTTTATTTTATCATAACTATCATATTTCATATAATGTTTCGTGACAACCACCAAATTTTATATAATATTTTACCATGATTATTCAACTTTTTTCACTATTTTTTATTAAATTTCAAAGAGGTAAAATGGTAATTTTGAATTATATATACACACACACTTTTTTTTTTTCAAATAAAAAGAACTTATTTAAAAAAATATTATAATGTAAAGATACTATTTACCTTTTTTAAAATTAGTGAAAAAGATGAAGAAAAGTTAGGTATCCATGGTGAAACGCCATATAAAGTTGGATGGTCATAAAGTTGTTGTCGAAGAGTGATTAACGCTTCAAATTTGTTCTCATACACCTACAAGTGTGTTTGAACTCCTTTAATTTTTCAAAATGTAGTATGAAATAGTAGATTGATGAAGAGTGTTTGGTTAAAAAAAGGAAAAGTTTTTAATTTATGTATAATATTAATTTAACAAAAATGTGTAGTTAAAAATGAATATTGTAAAAAAAATAATGTTATAGAACGTAAGTGACAAACATGAGCTCCAGGATTCGCATTTCTAATCCAAACAAAAGCTAGTTACTGCTGTCATTTTCCCCGTTAAATTGTCTTTTTCTTGTTCCTGTGTGCCATTTCACCTGTCACCACGACCACTGGACGATACTGCTCCGAGTTCATGAATAAAGAAAGATAATTTGATTGTTTAAAGGAAGACTTCACATTTGCAAGGTGGGTTTGTGATTCTTAAAGAATTTGAAAGAATGAGTGGGGGTGGAGAGGAGGAAGGGACGACGTTAGAGTTCACTCCAACTTGGGTGGTGTCCGCCGTATGTACCGTCATCGTCGGCATCTCCCTCGCTGCCGAGCGCCTCCTCCACTATGCCGGCAAGGTTGTTGAGCATTTCTGTCTCTCGCACACACACGGGCAAACCAAACACTGTGCGAGTTGAATTTTTTTTTTTTTAATGTTTTGATTTTTGTTTTACTTTTCATGTTGTAGTTTGGCTAATAGTATTCACAATTTACTGAAATTTTTTGTAGTATTTGAAAAAGAAGAACCAGAAGTCCCTCTACGAAGCTTTACTGAAAGTCAAAGAAGGTTCTTTTTATCTTTCACTTTATCTTAGAAAGTGTACGAGCGGGCGGAAATCTGTGATCTTAAATGTAAATTTTGAAATGGGTTTATATAAAATGTTATTTGCGCTTTCTTTTTCCAATACGATGATTGATAGATTAATTGCAACTATGAGTCTATGAACCGGTGAATGATTTTTGTGTGAATGTAGAGTTGATGCTGTTGGGGTTTATATCACTGATGATGACCGTGTTTCAAGGCCGTCTAGTCAAGATCTGCGTGCCTGATGACATAATGAAACATCTTCTCCCGTGCTCGCTGCCTTCGGAATCATCTTCTAATGGAGAAGGATCCTCTCCAACGAGTCCAGAGGCAAGTGCGCATCATCGGCGATTGCTAGCCGAAGCATCAGCTGGCGTAGGTTACTGCATTGCAAAGGTAATCATATGAACATTTATTTCGATTTTCCAGTGGAAGAATTCAGTTTTGCGTTTCATGATAATCTTTGAAGAGATTCTTTACCTTTTAAAAGTTAAATTTAAATTATGTAAACGATCTATCTATTAGTGTTGAAACCATGTGTCTATGTGTTATAGTATATGTACACATCAACTTCTTTGATTGGAAAGATATATTCTGAGCTAGAAGTATCGTATGAACATTTATTCCATTTTTCTGGGGGCCCTGTGGAAGAATTCAAGTTCGTCCCCGTTTCATGATATCTGTGGATAGAGATACTTTTCCTTTTCAATTTGCATAAATATTATGCACACTTATATCTATTTGTTACTGTTGAGAGCATCTATCTATAGTTATGGGTCCATATCAAGTTCTTTGATAGGAAAAATATCCAAACTACTTGAAGGTTAAATTTATTTTGATCAGTTACTTTTTGGATGTTCGATTTTCACTTTCTTCTTCATTGAAAAATGAGCTACTCTGAGCCAGTCATATGCAGTGTCTATCTTTTTGGAACTAGAAGGCTTATTCTGTTACTGTGGTTACTTGGGAATCTTGGATTGGCATGAGAAGTCAATAAGCTGTCGCATGGATCCTTTTGAAACTATAAAGCTTATTCTGTTACTATGGTTACCTGGGAATCTTGGATTGGCACAAGAAGTCAATAAGTTGTTTCTTGGATCTGGTTTATATCTGTGCATAGTTCACGCATCTTAGCCATTCTAGGATGGCTAGAAGCAATATGGTTACAGGGATTTACTATTACTGTATTTGAAGGAAAAAAGTTGGCTAGCACAGGGAATTTTTTTCCCAAAGGCTTGAATTACGTTTTCAAGAGCATGTTTGGCTAAGCTTAGAAATCTTGTAAATAAATATAAAGTATGTATTGAATTACTTATCACCAAAAAAAAAACAAAATTCAAAAGCTTAAGAAGCAGTTGATTTTGACCAATTCCCGATGCATGGGACGAAATGCTGATTGAAGCCCCCGAATGGGAACCTATCGAACGGGAATTAGTAGTAGTGCTGCTTGCTATAAATATCTTTTGGAGGAAAGCGGACGTCAGAAATTCTTTTGAATTCTGAAAATTCTTCGATTGATGGATAAGAACAAAAAAGTGGGAAAACGATTTCAAAAGATGCTTTCGAAGTGAAAGTGAATTATATCAGATGAACGTTACCCTTCAAAAGAAATGGCGTAATTTGCCTACCTATATTCATAGCATGACGAACATGGGGATTAAAGATTCACGAAGGATGATATTGAAATCTTACTAGAAAAAGAAAGACGAAAAAAAAAGTGCAATTTTGCAGTGAAAGTTCAAGTCGAAGATCAAAGTGAAAGTTGCGGATCTCTTCGCCCCCCTCTCCCCACTCAGTCACATGCAACCAGGCTTTCAACTCGGCCAACTCTCCCTTCTGTGCTACCTGACCCTTTCTACACCTAGAGCCACTCTCCCTAGCGGTCTTGCATTTGAGACGCGTCACTTCTCTCACCCCCTTGCTCTTCCCTTTTGGAGGTAAACATGTTCTAAATGGTGGTACTGGCAACAAAATATGAAGTCATTCTATGGGCAAGTGTAGGAACTTTGCAGAAATCAACACACTCCCAACAATTTATAGCCCGTCAAACATTCTCAACCTAGCGTCACATGGTGTAATTTTTCCTTTTCTGTTCACTTGTTAATCATTTTTGGCCTACTCCATTAATTTGTGATACGATGGTCACAGGATGTGTATGTTCTTTGCATGCTAATACTTGGGAATTAACATAAATGTTGAATAGTTTTCATTTTCTTTGTCTACAGCACAAGGTCCCACTGTTATCTCTTGAAGCATTACATCATCTACACATCTTTATCTTTGTCCTTGCGATTGTGCACGTGACATTTTCTGTTCTCACTGTTGTATTTGGAGGGGCCCAGGTGAGGTTTAAGTTGCTTATCCTTAGCACACGACAGTTTATCCTTTCCATCTTCTCCATGTAATTTTCAATTTTAACGTAGATTCGTCAATGGAAGCGTTGGGAGGACTCTATTGCTAAAGTTAATTATGATACTCAACAAGGTACGAATTCACCACTTTTGAAACTTCAGACTAAGATTTTTTGTCATTTTTAAAATTTTTTTTTTGGCCTGAAGTATCTTGTCTGTAGTATGTCGCTTCTCATAAGAGCGATGATGTACATTAGAAGGAGGTTATCTAAACCCGTACTTAAATTAATACTAGATCTAGCTTCTATCATACAATCTTTCATGATCGTTTTATTTTATGATTTGATGACTGTATAAAGAGGATCTGCTGGTAGCATTATACATTAATTTTCTTCCAGTGCATGTCATAATTACATATATGATGGATGTGCAGTTCTTATGCCAAGGGTTACCGATGTTCAGCAACATGATTTCATCAAGAAGAGATTTTTGGGCATGGGTAGACATTCAGCCCTGTTGAGTTGGGTGGTAGGTTTAAATCTGTCCTTTATTGGAATATACATTGCATTTTCCTTTCATACCCAATATCAGTAATTAGAACAAAATGCAAGTTGATGCGATACACATATGTAGAATCATCAACTCATTTGTTGATCATTTTCCTTTTCCCGAGTTCAGTGGCTGATCACTCTTCAATAACTTTTTCAGCATTCTTTTTTAAAGCAATTTTATGGATCTGTCACCAAGTTAGACTATGTAGCACTCCGTTTGGGTTTCATTATGGTAAGTGCTTAATGTATTTGTCATGTTTTTCCCAACGTCTATAAGTATATAAGTAAATTTTAAAATAAACAATTTTTTATTGGTCAAAATTGGAAATGAGTAACTTTTTTTTTTTTTTATTTAAAATGTATAAAGAAGTAACTTATCCAATCTTGTTTGGAAACTGAAATTTACTTGGAAGTAACTTTTACTTACCTTTAAGCTAAGCAAAACATGATGTTTATCTGCGAGCTTGAATTCACTTTATTATTCTTCTGCATTTTTCTATATAAGTGATATACGACAAATGTCGAACTTGTCCCTTGCCACAGACACATTGCAGAGGAAGCCCAAAGTTTAATTTTCACAGGTACATGATACGTGCTCTAGAAGATGACTTTAAAAAGGTCGTTGGGATCAGGTAAGTGATAATTTAGGAGAATCAGTAGTTTTTTACTCTCGAAATCCTCAAGTTCATATCTTTCTCATCCGTAGAACAATACTAACTGCTTCTGCTTAAAATGGGTTAATATCTGCTTTTATCAATTGCAGTTGGTACTTGTGGGCATTTGTCGTCATCTTCTTGTTGTTGAATATCAACGGTACGACCTCTCCATTCTGGCAATGTTTCCCAGTAATTTTATTTCTGCTCTGGCGGTGCAACGTAGTAGCGAACTATGCCCGACTGAATTTTTCTATTTATATTTTTGGTGCAGGTTGGCATACATATTTTTGGATCGCATTCTTTCCTTTTTTTGTGAGTATCCGCCAAACTTTTGCCTGATTAATCTCTCTGCCCTTCTTACTGTGCATTTTTTTTTTAAAGTCACGATGAAAATGATACCCCACTTACATTAATCTTCCGTTAATGATGAATTAAAAAAGTTATTTGTATAATTGCAAGAGGTCCAATTTTTTCGTACTTGGATAGTGTACAGTTAGTTCATGTTCTGGACCCATATAACTTTATAGTAGCTTGAGAATTGATTATTTGGCTTAAAATATTTGTTCTTTTCATTAATTAAAAAGGTTGAACTCCAACCTTAAGGGTCCCCCACTGTCTCGGCCCCAGAGCTTTGTGAGGGAGGTAAATCGCGGGATGTGCTCCAGCAGGTCAGGGAACAAGAGCTGCCTGTACACCTTGCCTGTTCTTTTCATTAATTAAATGTATACAAGGTTGAATATAGCAGTTGTAATGACCCAAGCTGTACTCTTATGCATTGTCTGCTTTGTGTGATTTTGCACCGTCTGTCTTACACCGAACAGATAATTTGCGCCTGTAATTCATATGTTCAATAATTTAATTTTCAGCTTCTACTTGCTGTTGGCACCAAGTTGGAGCATGTGATTATCCAGTTAGCCCACGAGGTTGCTGAGAAACATGTGGCCATTGAGGGCGAATTGGTTGTGCAACCTTCGGACAATCATTTTTGGTTCCATCGACCCCACGTCGTTCTTTTCTTGATTCACTTCATTCTCTTCCAAAATGCTTTCGAAATAGCATTCTTCTTCTGGATATGGGTAACTGAATTCATGAAATTGTCTTTGTAAATGAAATAACCTTTTTCCCATCAATTAAAACCTATTTTTATGTCACCTACAGGCTCAATATGGTTTCGACTCTTGCATTATGGGACATGTTCGATATATTGTTCCTCGACTTATCATTGGGTAAATCTACTGTAACCTCTATCTCTTTAACAGCTTTTGAGAAGAATGTCATTGCTCTTGATTTCATAAATACTGTTTTGAGCATATAAGGTAACTGGTTAAGCTTAGAAACAAAGAGAAAACGTAATCCTAATCTCACTTTCAAGAAAAAATGTAACTTATTTTGAAAGCAATAGTGTGACTCTTCCGTGTCATTCAGTGTATTTATTCAGGTAGTTTGCAGCTACAGCACGTTACCACTCTATGCTCTCGTTACACAGGTAATCGTTCTTCGTTTCCTTGGATATTTCGTTTTACTCAATAAATTTTACATGGAAATGTGTCGTTCTTGGTCCGGGAAATGTAGATGGGAACGCATTTCAAGAAATCTATATTTGACGAGCACGTGCAAGTTGGCCTTGTTGGTTGGGCGCAGAAGGTGAAGAAGAAGAGAGGGTTGAATGCGGCTGCACTTGGTGGCTCTGCTGCTCAAGGTGATCCGTCTCAAGGTAGTTCTACTTCAGTAATACAGATAGGCCAATTGGGGCATAACGAGACTACGACCCTTTGAGGCTCCACCTGCTAATAACTCATGAGGAAGAAACTATTGCACACGAGGTTTGGTTTGTAAAACGATATTCTTAAGGAGGTTGTGGATGTTGCCATATTTTGTACGAGACAAGACAACTGAGAAAATTTGCTTCGATGTCTTCTATTTATTAATCATGTCTAGTTTTGTTCAGTTCAGCAAATCGAACATGTTTGCAGGTTTTTGTTGTCATATAAAAATGATTTGGAAATTGTAGTTTAGAGTTTAGTATTAATATTTTTTTAAATAATTAAATATTATCAAATTTGTATTTAATATAATCCAATGATTTAAAATCGAGTTGCCCATTGACCTGAATAAGGAAAAGGGTCAAAGGGTTGAATCAAAATCCAAATAATTCGATAATTTTGCCTACCTACTGATGATTCTAGAAGCAAAAGGAAGTTCAGTCGATATTTGTTAAAGTGGCGTGGAGTTGAAATTAGGGGGTCATCATTTGTATCCATCTATTTACAATTGAAATGTGACATGTGTCTATGGTAAATATCATATCCACGATCAAGTCAACTTTGACTTGTTTTGACATAAATAAAATAAAATAAAATTATGTAGAGTATTTTATTATTATTTAAATTTCTAGTAATAGTTCGAAAAGTCATGTCTAATGCTTTGTTTTTCACCATTCTAATTCATTATTTTTTTTACAATATTCATTTTTAACTAAATATTATTTATTAAAATAATATTACACGTAAATCAAAATATTTTTTCTTTTTTAATCACATATTTCAACATCAATTATTATTATATAATACAAACACCCCCCTAAATTATTTTTACGAGCATGATTGCCCATTCGAACTTCAAAACTTCTTATTTAGCGGGAAAAGGACACTCTCCGCCCAATCTCCCATCAATGCGCCGTAGTTCGCCGCCGCCGACTACCGTATCCACGAAAGAAGAAGCCACCGAGAGCCCTACAATGAAAAGCTGTAGACAAGCGAAATCAAAGGCAGAACCCAACACATTAGGCGATATGGAGGACATTAATTTCAGCAAAAAGGAAATTCCAGAAATTAGGGCTTCTTTACTAAAATGGTACGATGAAAATAAAAGAGACCTTCCTTGGAGAAGAATAAGCAAAAATGGTGATAATGATGGTGTTAGTGTTGAAGAGAGAGAAAGGATGGCGTACGCGGTTTGGGTGTCTGAAGTGATGCTTCAGCAAACGAGGGTTCAGACTGTCATTGATTATTACAATCGGTGGATGGAAAAATGGCCTACTATTCATCACCTCGCGAAGGCTGATATTGAGGTTTGAAATTTTATATCTTTTTGTAGATACTGAATATTTTTAATCATCTTATTTGATTGTTCGGGAGTTTCTGATGGCTATGTGATACGAGCAGGAGGTCAATGAGTTGTGGGCAGGCTTGGGTTATTATAGACGGGCTCGATTTTTGCTCGAGGTATGCTTGCTTTCTTTCTTTTTCTCTCCCTCACGGTCGTTGTACTTGTTATGTCTTTTGGTGTGCTGTTCTTGGATTTATGCTACCTGAATTGTGGTCGATATATTGATTTATTCATACAGGACGTAAATAATTTGAGATGATGTTCAAAGTAAATAATCTTTCTCTCAATTTTGTTTCATAATTCAAACACCTTTGACTTTGTGAGAAAAAATGAGCTTGCTGTAATTGGATAATGGTGCATCTTTTAAATGGTATATGGTATATACGATTAAAAAATGTATCTTAATTTTCATTCCTAGAAGTTACTGAAGACTTCCAGTAACTAATGCCCATTGGATCACATATTACATTTCTGCAATACCTGTAATTGCAACTGTTTTTTCATTAAGAATCCGGCTGCTGCTACCATGAGTAACTATGTGTTTTCCACTCTTCCCCTTTTCTTATATTCAAGAACTCTTCAGACATTAGTTTCTTTGGGTATGTTGTGCAGGTATCTCTTTCCAAAACTCTTCGGTATTAACAAGGTTTTTCAAATGCCCTATGGATGAAATTCTAATTTCTTTTTCTTGTGGGGGGGGGGGGGGGATGCAATGGAATTTTGCTTCTTTGATTAAAGGGACTTCAGATAATTCGTTATTGAAGATAGTTTTACCGAGATAGATTTGTTTGTAGCCTTAATGATTTCTATTATGCTATTAGGGAGCCAAAATGATTGTTGAAGACAAAACTGAGTTCCCAAAAACAGTCTCTTCTCTTCGGAAGGTCAAAGGAATTGGAGATTACACTGCTGGCGCAATCGCATCTATTGCATTTAATGAGGTTGGTAGTTTAGGCAGTGTTTTGTCTAAATCACAATCAGCTTATGTTACTACAAAAAATTAAATGCCTGCTATTTAGACAGTGCCGGTGGTTGATGGAAATGTAATCAGAGTGATTGCCAGGCTAAAGGCTTTGTCTTCAAATCCAAAGGACTCAAAAACAGTCAAGAATTTTTGGTAAAACTTTCATATACTATTAACATCTTATTGTTTTACATCAATTGATTAGTCGAGAAATAGGATGCCACAAGGATTTCTCAAGCATGCAGCAACCATCTCCATTAAAAAATAAGCACCAAAGTTTTTGAATGTAAAGGATGTTTTACTGTACTCTTTCTTCAAAATTTGTCCAATTAACAATACTTAATAAACTATTGCTCCACAAGATATTGTAACGTAGACAATTTCCTTAAGTAAATCACTAGATCTCATAAATAGTTTCCACCTTTAGTTTATAGTGGAAAAGGAAAACTACACTTGCAAAACCTATATTTTTGGTTTTTAGAAGGCCATTTTCTGGCATTGTTTTGCTCTATTATTTTTAGCATAAACAGTATAGCATACTTGATCTGGGTCTGTGCAATGAGAATTTTATAGGATTCCTCTCATTTTTGGCATGGATATTTCTCCACCGAAAAAATTGTGTTTAAATTTGCCATTTACGTCTTTCCTTATCATGCTTTACATTTCTACTTCATAGGAAACTAGCTGGCCGATTACTTGATCCTTCTAGGCCTGGTGATTTTAATCAGGCTCTCATGGAGCTTGGTGCAACAGTATGCACCCCTTCGGGCCCCAGCTGCGCCACATGCCCAATATCACATCAATGTCATGCACTATTGCTGTCTACTAAGGACAAATCAGTTCAAGTAACAGACTACCCAATGAAGGTTGTCAAGGCCAAACAACGCCGTGATTTTTCTGCTGTCAGTGTTGTTGAGATTGTGGAGGGGGATGTATCTCAATCTGACAGTAGGTTTCTTCTCATAAAAAGGCCAGATAAGGGGTTGCTTGCCGGACTCTGGGAATTCCCATCTGTTCTATTGGAGGGAGAAACTGACTTGGCCTCACGGAGAGAGAGAATTGATAATTTTTTGAAACAGTCGTTGGGTTTGGACATTAGAAAGTCCTGTAAGATAGTTTTAAGGGAAGAAGTGGGAGAATATGTCCATGTCTTCAGTCACATTCGTCTCAAGATGTGCATAGAATTATTGATTTTGAATCTTAAAGGTCTGTTTACTGGTTGCTCTTCCTCCTCCCTCATTTTTCTCCCTAATCTAACTCAAACATGAAAAAGGAGCACGAAAACTGACAAATATTTCTTGTGGACGAGTTTTTTTCCTAAATTGAAATGCATTTGGTTTCTGTTTGGCTTTAAGGAGGGAAAAAGTTTATGCAAAGAATGCAAGAGAGTGCAACATTAACTTGGAAGTACGTTGATGGCGAGGCCCTTTCAAGTTTGGGATTGACATCTGGTGTAAGGAAGGTAAAGTTGCTGCTTTGTAGAATCGCTACTTTCTTGATCTTCGTGCTCGTAGATGTTCCTTCAAAGAGTCTACATCTAAAAATTACGCTGCATTGTTTTGGAAAAATCAACTTGGGCTTTTGATAAAAAAGTGTGTCCATTTACCAGCCAAACATCTTGCTACTTTCTACATCGCGAAAAATTTCGAAAAGTTTTTGGCTTTTCACATTTTTGCTGTGCCATCGTTTTGCATCTACGCTTTGTGATGCAGGTTTGCACTATGGTCGAGAAATTCAAGCAGAATAGATCCAATTCTGTCCCTGCAAAAAGAAGAAAGAGACAAAAAGAAAAAACTGCAAATGAAATGGAATGCTAGGTCGTGATATTTGTCAATGGATTAAATTTGCAGATCAATGCTTTATATTCAGGACTGCATCATTTTTAGGCTAAACTCTAGACTATATGCATCGGCATGCAGTCCACCTTGTTCTCTTCAGCACTTCCATTTATATTTTTGTCATCAAGGTAAGTGTTACTGTTATCTTACAGTTCATATGCAAGATTGTGAGTTTTCTGCTAATATAATAACAATTAGCAGTTTCCATTTGTTTGATGGATAGGCTTGCTGTCGCATCTTTGCAGGATATCTTAAATTCCTACAGTACCGTTTTCAACTTCCACTTTTAGGGGAACTAATTTAGAACCCATTTCATTCAGTGAAAAGTTAGTGGGATAACAACAGCAACGAGGATGTAGAAATGCAAAATGCTGCATTTTATTTTA